CGTCGTCGACGTCGACGTCGTCGTCGTCGTCCTCGTCGTGGTCGGTCCCCTGTCCGTCCCTCTGGGGGTCGGGTCGACGGTCCGCGGCCGCCCCGCCGCTTGCCGGGGCCCAGCCTGCCGGGAAGAAAGGTATACCCCCCAACGATCGAAGACGGAGAGGGCGGGTATCGAGGGTTTGGGAAATACGCGTTCTTGGACACTCGAGCAGCTAAGGGCGAACAGTCTTAAAATGGTTGTTGTTGCTGGTGTTGTTGTTGCTGTGGTTGTTGTTGGTGCTGGTGTTGTTGTGTTTGTTGGTGTGGTTGATGTTGTTGGTGGTGGTGGTGGTGTTGTTATTGGTGTTGCTGTTGTTGTTGTTGTTGTTGTTGTTGTTGTTGTTGTTGTTGTTGTTGTTGTTGTTGTTGTTGTTGTTGTTATTGTTGGTGGTGTTGTTGGTGGTGGTGGTGTTGTTGTTGGTGTCAGTGTTGGTGTTGGTGTTGGTGTTGGTGCTGTTGGTGGTGGTGGTGGTGGTGTTGTTGGTGGTGGTGGTGTTGGTGTTGGTGTTGTTGGTGTTGTTGTTGTTGTTGGTGGTGGTGGTGTTGGTGTTGTTGTTGCTGTTGTTACTGTTGTTGTTGTTGTGGTTGTTGTGGTTGTTGTTGGTTGTTGGTGTTGTTGTTGTTGTTGTTAGTGGTGGTGGTGGTGTTGGTGTTGTTGTTGTTGTTGTTGTTGCTGTTGTTGTTGCTGCCGGTGTTGTTGTTGTTGTTGCTGCTGCTGTTGTTGTTGTTGCTGTTGCTGTTGCTTGTTGTCGTCGTCCCACCCGCGACCCACGCGCGACCCACCCCGCGACCCACCCCGCGACTCATCCGCGACCCACCCCGCGACCCACCCCGCGACCCACCCATGACCCAACCCGCGACCCACCCCGCGACCCACCCCGCGACCCACCCGCGACCCACCCGCGACCCACCCGCGACCCACCCCGCGACCCATCCGCGACCCACCTCGACCCACTTGCGACCCACCCGCGACCCACCCCGCGACCCACCCGCGACCCACCCGCGACCCACCCCGCGACCCACCTGTGACCCAACAGCGACCCAGCTGGGACCCACCCGCGACCTACCCACATTGGTTGAACGGAAAAATCGGCGCCTGCGGCGGGCTCGTTGCATAATTTATGAAACTGTTGCGCCTGCGGCGGGCTTCTCCAGAGTCTCGCGGACTGCCGACGTCCCCACCGCACCCTCACTCTTATCCGCATCTGCGGGGTGCTACGTATACGTTGAAACTGTCATTGGGATGTGGATAGAGATATGCATCGAGAGATACACAAGGAGAGATGGAGAGGCAGAGGGAGAAAGGGAGGATACACGGACTGGACTCCTCGGACGCGACCCCATGGATAACGGGGCGGCTTTGCGCGTATGCCCCGCTCTGAACGCATCCATGGGATCGCGTATCCATGGGATCGCGCTTCGGAATCCAGACCGCGAGGGCACGGGTATGGATATGTTCCCAGAGATCCGCTGTCGTGTTTTTTCCAATACGCGGTCCCCAGAAGTCTCGACCCCTTCCCCGGGACCGGTTTTTCATCCTGAGTCATGTTTTGACGGCCCCAGGGCATGGCGAGGGCCCTTAGAGGCCAAAAATTGCGAACCAAATCCGCCCTGATTGTTTTCAATACGTTGTTCGGCACCGCCTGTACTCCGCACCCTCCGGCCGCCTGAGGCCCCGCCCGCCCGCGCCCTGTCTCCCCAAGTAGTGCTTCGCGCGCCCCGCCTAGCTCTGAACCGGAAGAGGCCTGTTCTAGACCCGCTTGGGCGCTGCGTAATGGGGGGGTCATAAATGGGGGGGTGGCGAGCGTGGTCCGAAAAGGTACCCAAACGGTACCTAAACGAGCCCCCTGGGGCTCCGGAGGGGCCCGAAAGGGGCACGAAAGGGGACCTTTTTTGACCCCCCCATTTGTGACCCCCCCATTAAGCCACGCCCAACCCGCCGACCGAAAAATGTTCAATACGTTGAATCTCTGGGTTCGTCGCCCGCGAATTCGCGGAGCTTCGCGGCAGGGCCAGGTCACTCGAGGGGCCACGCGGCGCTGGCCGACCGCGTCGCGTTCCTGGAGAAGGACGTAGGCCCCACGCCGCGCCGCCCCCCCCTCGCGCGGGAGCCAGGCAGCTTCGGGGACAGGACCCGAGCCGGGCATGTCCCTCCACGGCAGGGATCTTCAAGAACAGCACGAAAACGGTCTGGGGACGGCTTCTCGATTATTGAATCGCTCCGCTCATTCCGCCGGCCCATTTCGCATGACTGAGCCTCTTGGGGCCGCTGGGGGGCCCCTTCAGCGTCGCTTGGGGGCCTCCTGAGGGCCTCTTGGGGGCTTTTGGGGCCTCTCAGGGGCCTCTTGAGGCCTCCTGGGGGCTTCTTAAGGCCGAGGGCTCGAAGTTCTGTTTTGTGTTCCCCCTTTTGGGCATCGCTTGGGGCCCTCTTGGGCCCCTCTTGGGCCGTCTTGGATGCCTCTGGGGCCGTCTTGGAGCCCTCTTGGGCCATCTTGGGGCCTTCTTGGGAGCTTCTTGGGCCCTCTTGGGGCGATCTTGGGGGCCTCTTGGGCCGTCTTGGGGCGTCGGGAAGCCGAAAAGATGGACACGCCAAAATCTGCCCAAAACCTAAGGAAAAGTAATGAATTTTGCCTCTTGGGGCCCTCTGGGGAGTGCTCTTGGAGGCCTCTTGGGGCGTCTGGGGGCCATCTTGGGCGTCTTGGAACGATCGTGTGGCATCTCGGAGCACTCTTGAACCATCTTGGAGGGCTCTTGGCGGCCTCGTGGCCCTTCTTGGGGCTCTCTGGAGGGCCACGGGGGCGGCGCCCAGGAGGAAAACCATCTCTGACCCGAGTCTGCCGGGGATCGCCCGGGGTACTTTTCGTCCGGGGACCCCCAGGGGCCGCCTCGCGCGCGCGAAGTAGAAGTATTATTTAGCAGTTACCGGGGATCTTAGCACGCCTCTGGCCCGTTGGGCCGGCGAATTTTGGGCTATTTGTGTGGCATGTCTGGACTATGTTTCATTTGTCTTCCAGACTCCGCCTGCAGGAGGACATGCCCGACCCATGACCCGACTAGGTATCAAACCCCCGCCCATTCGAGAAATGTGTGGCAGAGGTGTTCGGCGTTTGCAGGCCGCTTCCAGCACCAGCGACCATCAGAGAGCACGCGGGATGAGGAATCGGCCTTAGGAAAGGGGTCGAGAGATCCTGGGGCTGGCGACTTCAAGAAAACGTTTCAGAGACTTGGGTTTTGGACCTGATTCGGGTATCGGGGCAAGGGGACCTCAGGCGATGCGCGTCATCCCCTCTACCGATATCCTCCCTCATCATTCCCATCCGCCTCTGTCTCCTCGTCCTGCACTAACACCATACCACGCACTGGATGAAAAAGTGGAGATCGGAACAATACAGCATCACATCTTGGATATTCGTTCGTCGGTCAGCATTGGAGCTTCGATCTTCGATCGAACCCAGATCCTGGATCGTTAATCGTCGCTCTTCGACCGGACCTCTATCCTCGACATTCGAAGTATGTTGGGTCCTCGATCCTCATCTTCGATCGAGCCTCCATCATCGATATTTGATCGGTCCTGCATCCTGGAGCCTGGCTTTACGATCGAGTTTGGATCTTCAATGCTCGATCTTCGCTCTTCGATCGACCATCCATCGTCGACTTTCGATGGATCGTGACCGCTTGATCCTGGCTCGTCGATCGTCGAACGGACCCGGATCCTCGATGATCGCTCATCGGTCGTCGAGCTTTGATCGGCCCCGGAACCCAGAGCCTCGAATCCAATCGATGTTGCTTTGCTGGTCCTCAGTCGATCTTGGGTCATCGACTCTGTATCCTCGATCTTGGACCGTTGATTCTGGACCATACTTCCTAGTAGGTCGGCCTCGCCACCCCACGATGGCCCCAGGACTGAACCTCCCCCAGCGGGGGCTCTCGACCCGACGCGACCTCGAGGCGGCCTCAAGAGGACTCCAAGACAACCCTCCCTCCTCCCTCCTCCCTCCCTCCCTCTTCCCTCCTCCCTCCTCCCACCCCTCCTGCCTCCTTCCTCCCCTCCCTCCCCTCCCTCCCTCCCTCCCTCCCTCCTCCCTCCCTCCCTCCCCTCCCTGTGAGCGGAACGAAGCAACGGCCATCCCTGCGGACGACCGTCCAGGTGCAGGCAGGACGAGCTGCGCGAGGCCGCGGCAACTGGAATCTGGCTTGCACGGAGAACAGGAAGCCCGAGGAGGAGGAGGAGGAGGAGGAGGAGGAGGAGGGCAGGGAGGAGGAGGAGGAGGAGGAGGAGGAGGAGGGAAGGAAGAGGAGGAGGGGAGGGAGGAGGAGGAGGAGGAGGAGGAGGAGGAGGAGGAGGAGGAATAGGTCTACGGCGTCGGCGTAAGCGCACACGAGACCGGAAATTCGGTTGTCAGGAAGTCTCGAGAGAAGTCGGCGCTTTCTGGTGGCACGAGATGCGGCGGGAAATATATGGTGAGGAAGTCCCACGCGAAATCGTCACTTGCTGGCATTCTGAAACAAGCGACCGGATTTGCTTTTGAGGACGTCCCGAGCGAAATCGCCACTTCCTGGTGGCATGGCAGAGTTTCCAGTCGCCCTGGAAGGCTAATGGAAACTTTTTCTGAGGAAGCCTTGGGCGGAATCCGATTTTCTGGTCGAAGCCCCATGGGGCCCTCATACTAATAAAGGAAAGGATGGAGACACCAGAAACTCCCCAAGTTGGCATCGAATCCAACATGGTCCCCGGGCCCCGCAGCCTACTGGGAAGCAATCCATGCCTACCTCGGACCCCGCGATCTCCACTTTTTAATCCTGGGGGGTTGTAGCACGTCAGAAGAGGGGGCACGAACACAGTTGGGCACGATTATTGATGCAGGCAGTACAAGTGATCAAGCGTCTCGGGAGAGGGTCTTGGTGTCTTGCAAACTTTCACGGTATCGCGGCTTTGGGCGACTGGAGCGGTTCGCCAGCCAGCACCACCAGATTCGCACGTTGCGGTCCCGGCCTTCTGCGGGACGTCATTTTACCTTTGTGCTGCGCAGCAGGCGTGCATCTGGTCAGCCGGCACGCATGATCGGCTTTTCGAGGTCAAGGGAAGCCTTATGTCCTGCGAATCCCTTCCATGTCCTGGCGCCCTGTTGCCCAGAAGACCTCCAGGGTGGCCAGAGCTTCCCAGACGAGTCCGAGTTGTTCCAGAGGTGACTGGAGGCTCAAAGAGGAAAAGGCAACAGCAAAAAACAGATGAATCCTCATCGTCACTGTCTTCCTGGGAGCCTGGTGCCCCCTTCTCGGGTGTCCTCTCGCTGGCGCTCCGACGTGCCCTGCGCGGCTGATAGTACGATCAAAACCCAGGGTAAGGATGCGCTGCGCTGCGCTGTTCCATCAGAGGCTACCCTTGCATCCCTGCTTCCTCGGCCCACCCTAAGCCAACGTCGACGTGCGGGGAGCTCCTAGTGGTGCACTGCGCTGCTTCATCAGAGGCTACCCTTGCATCCCTGCTTCCTCGGCCCACCCTAAGCCAACGTCGACGTGTAGCTCCAAGCGGTGAGTGGGTGGGACTTCCAGGGGACGATGGTCGATGCATTTCGAAGGTCCACGCCGTCTCGCCCCTGATCTCGACGTCGCAGCCCTCGTGCGAACTGCGCAGGTTCTGCACAGGGAGGAGGGGGAGGAGGAAGAGGAGGAGGGGGGGAGGAGGACGAGGTGGAGGGGAGGAGGAGGAGGGGGAGGAGGAAGAGGAGGAGGGGGGGAGGGAGGAGAGGAGGAGGGGGGGAGGAGGGAGGGAGGAGGGGGGAGGAGGAGGAGGGGGAGGAGGGAGGAGGAGGAGGGGGGGAGGAGGAGGACAGATTTCCACCGCGCCCCGCACGGCCCCGCGCAGCTCTCTCCGAAAGCCCCCCCCAGCTCGGCCGGCCTCGGGCTCGAGCAGAGCAGCCCGACGCCTGGGCGGGGCTGGAGGCCCCCCGCGGGAGAGCCAGGCGCAGCCCACCGCGCGCCCGCCGCCCGGCCCCCGAGCAGTGGCGAGGCGTCCTGGCGATCGCTTTTCGGGAGCGGAAAAGAGGGGGGTGATGACTAGGGGGGGGGGGATATCATGGCGCGGGCCATGATTTTTCCTCAGATATCATGGCGCCTCTTCTTGTTTTATTACGTCCCAGGCCCCCCCGCTGGGCCGCGCACATGCCGCCGGTCATGATTTGCCCCCCCCCTCTTGGACACCCCCCTCTTTGCCGCTCCCGAGCTTTCTGATTTCTGACCCATTGTTCTGCCGATCGGCGCGGGCCCTCGCACCTCCCCCCTCGCAGGATCGAGGATCGAGGATCGAGGGTCGAGGGTCGAGGGTCGAGGGGGTCGAGGGTCGAGGGTCGAGCATCGAGCATCGAGGATCGGGGGCCCGCACCTCCCCCTCCACCCCCCCCCGCATGGAGCAGATCTTGGCTGTTTTGGGGCGCCTGCTTCGAGCAGGTGGGGCCTCCCCCATAGGACGCACTGCAAACCCTCTCATGAAGCAGAGGTCCGGAGCCACACACACACACACACACACACACCCCTCCCAACCCCCCCCCCTTCCGCCCAAGCTCGAAACGCCGAACAAGAAGGCGTTGACCTGCCTGTAGGCCCACCAAAGAATGTCCTGAGAACCTCCTGTGGCTTGCACGACCTGCTCTCAGACTAGTTCTGGCTGGGGCCGTCCTGTTTGAACACATCGGCCTTCTGTCCGACGAAGGCATCTATACACCACCACCGTGCCAGGCCAGGGCCATTCTGGGCCCCAGGATGGTGTATAGACCTTCTTGGCCTCGGCAAGGAGGGCATATACACCATCCTGGGGCCCAGGATGGCCCTGCCTTGGCACGGTGGTGGTGTATAGATGCCTTCTGCGAATTCTGTGGTCTGAGAACACTGCTCTTGTCCTTGGAACTTGTCTGGGGGTTCTGAGAACCTGCCGCGGTAGGCCTACACGGGAGTGCCGGGGCGGTCCGTCCCTGCCCGACCGGCCCCCCGGCCGCGCCCCGCCTCCCCGCCGCCTCCGCCTCCGCCTCCTCGGCGGTGAGCCCAGGGGAGCTTCCGAGGAGGACGAGGCAGCGATTGTTTTCGACTGCACTGTTTTGCCGATCGGCGTGAGCCCTCGCACACCCCCCCTCTCCCCCCCCATTCTAGGCCTCCTGGATGGGGTCGGAGTACATGGGGGCGGAGGATCGCGCCGCATCGCTGATGCATCGGCGACGCATCGGCGATGCGGCTCGATGTGGAGCCCAGTTTTCTCAACGCCGACGTCACCGATGCGTCGCCGACGTCGCCAGCGCATCGCCGGTGCATCGCCGATGCATCGCCGATGTATCGGCTGTGCGGCTCGATCCCCCGACCCCATCTACTCCGACCCCATCTAGGAGGCCTCTACAAACGGAGGAGTAGTTCTTGGCTGTTTTGGGCGCCTGTTTCGAGCAGGTGGAGTCTCTCCCATAATGGACGCCCTGTTCCAAACAGTCGCACTAAGCAGAGGTCTGGAGCCAGACCCCCCCTCCGCCCCCCGTTCCGCCCAATGTCGAAACGCCGAGAAAGAAAACGTTCACGTACCCATGACGCTACCCGTCCCTCGTTTTCCCTTGCTTGGGTCTCTTGGGAGGGTCTCGTCGCCGCCGCTGCACTCGCCTCGAAATTCTGGCCAGAACGCATCCCAGGAGGTCCGGGGAGTAGCGGTGTCCGTACCTCATGGTTTCCCCAGAGTTGCCGGTGACAGCATTCGGAGCAGAAGCTGTGGCGCTGGGCGAAGCGTCCTGGGGGGCAGCGTCTCAAGGGTACCCTTGTGCCCTGCGTTGCGCGACTCATGCCTTCATTCCTATGGCAACGCGGCCCTCGCGAGGTCTTGAGTCCTCTCGTGTGTCCTCTCCAACCCACCGCCTCCACTGGAAGAGAGCAGAAGCAGCTGAAGTGTTTGGCTTCTCGAGCTGCGACGGAAAGAGAAGAGAGGAGGCAGGCCTTCTCAGAAGGCGGCGGGGCTTCACAAAAGCCCTCGAAAGGAAGGCCGTCGGACGCCAGCAGGCCAGCAGGGCGACGACGCCGGCGGCGGCGGCGGCGACGATGGCCAGAGGGCGGGGAGCGAAGGGAGGAGGAGGAGGAGAAGGAGGAGGAGGAGGAGGAGGAGGAGGAGGAGGAGGGGAGGAAGAGGAGGAGGAGGAGGAGGAGGCCCTCTGAGCAGCCGCCTCTGCCGCCGGAGGAGGCCCCCAAAACTTCGCGGCAGGAGGCCAGGTGCCTTCCGAGCACTCCGGGAAGGCCCGCCCCCTCGGCCTGCCCCCCGGGAAGGCTCTCGCCGCCGAGCCCCGGCGCCGCCCTCACTGCAGACCCCCATCGCGTCGTGAAAGAGTCACCAGGAGGAGGAGGAGGAGGAGGAGGAGGAGGAGGAGGAGGAGGAGGAGGAGGAGGTGGGGATGCATCGAACCCCAATCGCCCACTGATCGCCGATGGGGGCCCGATTAGCCCTGACCCGCCCAGGAAGGTGCGGACTGACTCTCGGGAGCCTAGCGCCGATCTATCGGCGATGTATCGCCGATTCCAGGTCGACGCATCAACCCTTCTGCCAGTCCGCCCCTGTCGTTGCCCCTCCAGTCACGGCAGACGGCGGTTCTATGTCTTTCGGGCCTCCGGCGGCCCGTACAAGCCTCGAGACCGTCAAGCAGAATGGGTCGGGATGAGAGACCGGTCTCACGGGTCGAGACTTCTTTGGGTCAAGGCAGCGTTAAAAAAGCCACGACGGGCGGTTTCTTCTTTCTATGTTTGGCCTCCCCCGGCGCGTGCCGGGCCTCGGGAGCCTCCAACCAAAAAAAATGGTTGGGACGGGAAGCCGGTCCCATGGGTCGAGGCTTCTGTGGGCCAGCGTTGTGAAAAAGTCATGGCTCGAGCAGTGCCGAAGCGTCTTGGCTTGCCTATAGGTCCACCAAGGAAAGTTTTGAAGAGCCTCTTGCTGTTCGTACGACATGTTCTAAGAACCTGCTGTGGCTTGCACGAAAGGCTCTTGGAACCTTTCTGGCGAAGACCGTCTTGTTTTATGCATCGGGCTTGTGTTCGAAGAACACTTGTTTCTGTTACTGGAACTTTTGGGGGTTCTAAGAACATCCCGTGGTAGGTTGAAGTCGGGCCTGTCCTTCCACAGGAGGAATATTCGAAAATGGTCGACAAACAGTCTGAGGACGGTTTCTTGACTATGTTTGAATCTGTCTTTGATTTATGGATTGAGTCGTTTCTAGTTTTCGTTCAAAATCCCCCTGGAGGAGGGCATGCCCGACCTGATGGTAGGCCTATAGGATTGCAGGGACGGTCGGCCCCTGCTCAGACGACGCCGGGGGGTCTGGGGCCGCGGCGCTGCGCGGAGCCCCGCGCGTCCGACCCCCCGGAAGCGCGGAGAGCGCCGCGGGCATGGCCAGCGTGCTGCTGCACCTGCTGCGGCTGCCGACCGACGACCCGACCATTCGAGCAGGAGATCGGCTGCAGAGTGCACTTGCCCCAAGCTTGGTTTCCTCGTCGAATCCAGGGAGGGCCTGCAGAAGCCTCAGCAGCTTTGCGCACCTTCTGGGCCTTCGTCGTGGGCTCGACGGGGGATCAATCCTGGGGTAGACCAATTCTGCAGCCGATCCCCTGCTCGAACCATCGCGCACTTCGCGGCCGCCGCGGTGCTGAGCCACCAGGAGCTCCGCGGCGGGGCCTGCTGGTCCAACGAGGAGATGGACGAGCAGCGGGCCCTGGTGCTGCGCGCCACCGGCTGCCACGACTGCAGGCGGGTGGGCCCTGAGGCGCCGGCGGCTGCCTCGGAGAGGCTGGCGCACAGCTTCATCTGCGAGCAGATGCTGGACGCCACCCAGAACCAGCGGCCCATCCCAGACCGCGACGCCCTCGTCGTGAAGGCCGCGGAGTTTCTCTTCTGCCGGAGCTTCTCGTGCATCCGGGAGGTCGAGATGGCCATGGCGAGAGAGACGGCTGGCGTCTGAGAGGCACAGAGTCGTCCCAGAATCGCCCTCCACGCTGGCACGGGCGCGCTGGCCATGGCTGGCAGATCTAATTATTCGGTCAGCCTCCACCGCCAGCGCCGCGACCGCCCAGAATTTAGGGCGTCGCGGTAGGAGCAGGATGAGGAAGGAGGACGAGGATGGGGGGGAACGGGGAGGTAGGAGGGTTGGCCTACGCCCAGTCCTCAGTCGCCTCCATCGGGCGTCGCTTGCTGTTGTGTCCCACGTGACTGTGAGACTTGTCTGCGGAATCGGTCCGAAGGGGCGCTAGAGCTAATTGCGATTTAAAAAAGTGCAAGTGTATCAGCCGATTCGACAGCAATCCAGCTGCCTGCGGCAAGCTCCGCCACAGTGCCCGCCCAGCATCGCAATGGTTTCGAGGAGTTCTCCCGAAGAGGAAGTCATCATCCATGGGACCCTTAATGGCCACTTGTTGTCCAAGATGGTCCCAACATGATGTTGGAATGGTTCTGGCAGCTTGCCGGGCGTCTTCTGGCCTTCGTAGCTGATTGGGGGCGCCTTGGGACTATTCAGTCGGTGTGGGGCCGTCTCGGGAGACAGTCAGGCCGCCTTGGACAAGTAATTAGTTGATTGGCCGTCTTGGAGGCTTCTTCGGACGGGCTTGAGCTATGTTTGGGCCCTCTTGAGAAGTCATTGGGCCTTCTCGGGAACATGTTGGGGCCTTCCTTGGTGCTTTCTCGACCATGGAGGCGCCATCCAGGGTGGCCCACGGGCCATCCAGCGGCCCACTCGAGGCATCTTGGGCCGTGGTGCAAGTGCGTGTCCGCACGTTCCCTAGACAGTGCTGGCACTGGGAGTTCTGTCAGGGCTCGGTCAGAGGGGAAACAGACACACACACACACACACACACACACACACACACATCGACGCCACTGACCGTCGACTCCCAGGAAACTGTGGGAGAACATATGGGAAGTGGGGGGGGGAAGGCGGAGCTCTAGAAAATGTGGCAACATAAGGGGGGAACTCTGGGATCTGTGTGTGTATTCACCTCTGTGTCCCTGGGCCCCTTCCGCTGGCCGGCGCCTCGAGGCGCTGGCGCCTCGTGGGCGCCCCGGGCGCTGGCCAGCGCGGGGCCGTACAGATGGTCAAGAAAGCTTCAAGAGGCCCCGAAGACGCCCAAGAGCGCCCCAAGAGGGCCCAAGATGGCTTGAAGATGGCTGACGAGAGCCCCAAGAGGGCCTTCAAGAGGCACCAATCGCCCCATTCCCATCGTAAAACGCACGTTTTCAGCATACTCGCTGGCTTCGTCTTCACAGTGCCCCAGACGCCCTCGAGGAGCCCCAAGACAGCCCAAGAGAGACCCAAGAGGGCCCCAGACGGCCCAAAAGGGTCGTCCTGTGGGGCTCACGGAACCCCCAAGACGGAGGCCCCGAAGCCGGCCCAGGAGGCCCCCATCAGGGAGGCCCAAGAGGGCCTCGTTCGACATCATGTTCCCCGAAGCCTCTCCAGAAACATGACTTCCGGGTTCCCAGGACGCCCAAGAGGCCCACAAGACAACCTCAGCGAGGCCCCAGAGGGCCCGAGATGGCTTCAAGATGGCCGAAGAAGGCCCCAAGAGGGCCTTCAAGAGGCACAAATCGGCCCATTCTCCTCGTAAAGCGTACATGTTCAGCATACTCGCTTGCTTCGTCTTCACAGTGCCCCAGACGCCCCCGAGGAGCCCCAAGAGGGCCCAAGGCGGCCCAAAAAGATCGTCCCGTGGGGCTCACGGAACCCCCCAAGACGGCCCAAGAGGCCCCGAAGCCGGCCCAGGAGGCCCCCAAGACGGCCTCAGGGAGGCCCAAGAGGGCCTCGTTCGGAATCATGTTGCCGGAAGCTTCTCCAGGAACATGACTTCCGGGTTCCCAGGACGCCCAAGAAGGCCACAAGACAGTCTCAGCAAGGCCCAGGAGGGCCCGAGATGGTTTCAAGATGACCGAAGAGGGCCCCAAGAGGGCCTTCAAGAGGCACAAATCGGCCCATTCCCCTCGTAAAACGTACATTTTCAGCATACTCGCTTGCTTCGTCTTCGCAGTGCCCCAGACGCCCCCGAGGAGCCCCAAGACAGCCCAAGAGAGACCCAAGACGGCCCCAGACGGCCCAAAAGGGTCGTCCTTTGGGGCTGCCGGAACCCCCAAGACGGCCCAAGAGGCCCCAAAGCCAGTCCAGGAGGCTCCCAAGAAGGCCTCAGGGAGGCCCAAGAGAACCTCGTTCGAAATCATGTTCCCAGAAGCCTCTCCGGGAACATGATTTCCGGGTTCCCAGGACGCCCAAAGACAGCCCCCAGAGGCCCCGGACACGCCGAAGATGGCCTCAGGACGGCCGACGACGCCGCCAAAACGCCCCAAGAGCGCCTCCAGAGGCCCCTCCAAAGGGCCCCAGAAGCCGAAAATCAAAAATTGTCCCATTGTTTTTGAAGCATTCTTGCGCTCTCCCATGTTCCGCCTCCCCACGGTCCTGGACCGCGTCAGAGGCCCTTCAGATCGCTCCAAGACGACCGAAGAGGCTCCCGAGAAAGCCCAGAGACGGCCCAGGAGGCTCCCCAGATAAGTCAAGAGGGCCTCGAGAGCGCCCCAAAAGAGCCCCAAGAGCGACCCAAGAGGGCCCGAAGAGCGCGACATTTCGAGGTCTCCGGCCTGAGAGGCTCCTAGGACGCCCCCGGAGGCTCCCAAGAGACCCCCCGGAAGCCCCAATAGGCCCCCAAGGGACCCCCAGGGAAGCCCCCTGCGGGCCCCCAAGACACTTCGGTAAATCGCATTTCCCAGATAGCTTTCCGGGAGCATGATTCCTTGGGCTTCCGCCCACCGCCCCAACCGTGTTTCCAATAGGCTTGCCGACAAGGCCAAAAGGGGCCCCTCGGTAAGCCCCCACAGGCCCCTCTTAGAGAGCCGAACAAATCATGTTCCCGGAAAGCTTCCCAGGAACATGATTATCTATCTCGGAGTAGGCCCGGGGGGGCGGGCGGGCAGTTGCTTGTTCCCCCCATCGGTGCGCACCAGGGGTTGCGGGGGGGGTCCAGAGCTCCCGAGGCGGCCCGAGCCCGCCCCGAAGCAGGCCACGACAGGCTAATTAAGGGGGTCCCGAGAGGACCCAAGACGGTCCCACGAGGCCCCGAAGACGCCCAAGATGCCCTCAAGACAGCCGACGAGGACTCCAACACGCTCAAGGACGGACTCAGGAGGCTCCCCAAGAGGGCCCTGGAAAGCAAGATCACTCGTTTTCCGAATGTTTTGGATTTTGGCGTTCTCGCTTTTCCCGCCTTCCAGCGCTCCCTCACGGCCTCGGAGGCCTTTCAGATCGCTCCAAGAAGGCCCACAAGGCCCCGACGAGGGCCCCAAGACGGCCCAGGATGCTCCCCAGACAACCCAAGTGTGCCCCAAGAGCGCGCCAAGAGAAGGCCCAGAGGGGTCCCGAGGCGGCCCGGGCCCGCCCCGAAGCAGGCCACGACAGGCTAATGGAGGTCCCGAGAGGGCCCACGGTCCCAAGAGGCCCCGAAGACGCCCAAGTTGCCCTCAAGACAGCCGACGAGGATTCTAATTCGCTCCAGGACGGACTCAAGAGGCTCCCCAACAGGGCCCTGGGAGGCAACATTCACTAATTTTCCTATCGTTTTTGAAGGATTTAGGCGTTCTCGCTTTTCCCGCTTCCCAGCGCTCCCTCACGGCCTCGCTCGGAGGCCCTTCAGATCGCTCCAAGACGGGCCACGAGGCCCCGAAGAGGGCCCCAAGACGGCCCAAGAGGCTCCCCAGACAACCCAACTGTGCCCCAAGAGCTTCCCAAGAGAGGGCCCAGAGGGGGACCGCCAACCGATCTTTCGAGGTCTCTGGCCCTAGAGGCCGCCTGTAGGCCCCCGGAGGCCACCAAGAGGCTCCCACGAAGACCCGTGAGGCGCCCAAGAGGCCCCCAGGAAGCCCCAAGAGACCCCCAAGGGGCTTCCAGGGAACGCCCAAGAGGCCCCCCAACACACCCCAAGAAATCATGTCCCCAGAAAACCTTCCGGGAACATGGTTCATCATGTGCCCGAGAGTTCCCCGAGGCCCCCAAGGGGCCCCCAGGGAACGCCCAAGAGACCCCCCAACACACCCCAACAAACCATGTCCCCAGAAAGCCTTCCGGGGACATGGTTGATCATGGGCCCGCGAGTCTCCGGAGGCTTCGAAGTACCATCATGCTACAGGAGAGGTGTCTGAGAAGTTGATTGGGAACATGACGGATCGCCTTCTCGCGGCCCTCCGCAGATCGTTTCGCACAAAGTTGCCCCAAGTGCCCTCTTGAATCGACGACGACGAAACGACGAAGACGACGACGACGACGACGACGACGACGGCGCGCCCCAATAGGCGACGACGACATTACGACGACGACGACGACGACGACGACGACGGCGACGACGACCACGACGACGACCACGACGACCTCGACCACGACGACGACGACGACGACGACGACGACGACGACGACGACGACGACGGCACGCCCCAACAGGCTCCCCAAGATGCCCCAAACCCATGCTCCCAGGAGGCCTTCTGGGAACCCGATTCATATGGCCTCCGCCCCCCTACACAACCATTTTCCTCGAAGGCCTTTTGGAATGCAGATTGGCATGCGTGGACTGTGGTCCACTACTTCAGTGGAGCAATGAATTCGTCAAAGCCTGGGGCCTGCTAGAACCTGAGCGCGCGCGAAGCGCGTTCGATGGTTCTAGTGTGTATATGTATATATATGTATATATATATATATATATATATATATATGCGTATGTCAGTATCTAAACACAACACGTGTGTGCGCCAGCATATATAGATGTCACAACATAGCTTTCAAAACCTCGCGTGCGCAGAATAGATTGCAGAACACGAACTAGGTTGCACCATCTGCATTGCACTACAGTCTACACCTAATGGATTGCACCGTATGGATTGCAGCATATACGTTGCACCATGTTTGCAAATTCCAGCACGAAGAGTGCGCATCGAGAG